TAAACTGCTTGCCATTCACTGTAGTGACCCATACTTTGCCACTTGAAAACCTCTGCCTATTCACCTTCCCAGCATCAAAATGTCCTCCTGTCTTAGCTATCAGAATGCTATCCCCTGAGGTGGTCTTCAATGAACAGATGAGAATGAGAGAACTAATGAGTAGAAGAACTAGAAGCAAGAGTGACAGAAATGGGAAAGAAAGAAGTCAACAACATCCAATACAACTTGGAGGCCTGAACTGGCTTTGGTGACAAGGAACCAACTGCTTACAGCACGAGTAGACGGCCATGCAGCCGTGCTGTAGCACAGTCTGTGGTGAGTGCTAACGTACAGAAGAACCAGCTCCATGATTCATAAATGGCCTGACCTTCAGCAGAAGTTTCTTCTAAAAAATCTCTCATGGCGTTGTAAAGATCAAATGAGATACAACGCACAAAGTAAGCCTCATTGCTGCCGTTACTGGGGAGCAGAGAGGTTCACAGGCAGAGAGGTCAGGAGAGACTCCTCTATCAGAAAGTCTGAAAAGGATGAGAGGAGAGAGATTTTCTTCTCCAAGAAGGCTGAGGCTTCAGTATGATGAGAAACAGAAAGGAAGGAGCCAACGCAAAGGGAGAGGTTAAAGTTAAGGAGGAGAAAGAAGGAATGAACCAAAACGGAGGGCCAGAGTCTCAAGAGGAGCTGGAAATGAGATTGTATCTTTTCCTCTAAGATGAGAAAGCAATCTGTGGAGTTGTCAAGGATCAAATACAAAAGTGAAGAGGTGGAGAGAAATTTTAAGACACGGGGCAAGTATCAGAAGAGCTACTGTAGGGAATGGATCAAGTTAAAAATCACCACGGATCCAAGGGCTCAGTTAGAATTAAAAAGCAAACAATCACAGTAGAGCAAGTGGACATGGATTTCTAATCTTCCCTCAACCCCCAGCAATGCTCAGCTTTCCAGAACACGGAGTAACTGGAGATCAGGGATTACGGCAATGAAAAAGGGCACTGGAACAGGACTTTGAGAGTTGCATGACAGGCTAAAGTGATCACACCGAGTAGATAAAAGTACAGGAGTAGGTAGTGTGTGTATGTGTATGTGTGTGTGTGTGTATGTGTGTGTGGAGGGGGGTTGTGATCAAAGGTAGGCTTCTAAAGAACAGAAGTGGGAGAATGGAGGAAAAGCCTATAAGCCATAGAAGGTATAGATGTAGTAAAAGGGTGAGAACTGTGCCAGTAAAGTGGAGGTGATAATGGGGTTGAAGAGTTCAAGAGAAGTTTAGGACTGGGTGGTGGCACGTTCCAAGGCCTGGCTCTGGTATGGACAGATGAAGGAAGTGGAGTGAGAGATACAGGAAACTAGGCAACAGGGTACACTGTCCACGCTGACATACAATGGAGTCACCTAGAAGAGGGGGCGACACTGCTGTAGAAAGTAGGCAAAGTGGTGAAGTCCTTGCTGCCGATGACTGTTGGTATACATGAGACCCATGAGTAATGGTGAGGAGTGGAACGGGGTGAGATTTGAAGGAAAAGAGGGGTTTCCACAGAAGGATGGTACAGTTTGCTGTTGTAACATTTATTCCAAGACAGATGATCTAATAACACATATGGAAAAACTCTGCTTTAGAAGCTAAGTGATATTTATATTTCTATAAAGTTAGGAGGCACTAGAAACAGACTTAACGTTTTGTTGTTGTTTTAAGAACAGGTGAACATATCCAACTAAGAATAAATGCTTCTTAGCTACAGACACCTGAGCCCTGGGAACAGGTTACATAACACCATGAACACACTATTCAGATATGTGAAGAGCAAAGGTCGAGAACAAGGAAACATATACACGTCAGCAGATTTATTTATTGCATGAAATGAACACCAAACAGGAAAAGTCCCCATGCAGATTTAAAAACTGATCTGCTCAAGTAACATGAAAATCAGTGCAAAGGACGTAATGGAATGGAAATTTCTCATATTACTAGTAACTTCTTAAAACCTTTTTCTATTAAACTTACATGGATGATTCCATTTACAGGAAATGGCATGAATAGGCAAATCCTTAAAATTAAGTTACTAGTGGCTGTTAGGCTAGGCAAAGGGAAAGAGGGAGTGATTGCTAATGGACCCTGGGTTTCACTGTGCGGTAATGAAAACGTCTTGGGAGAAGATAATGGTGATGGTTGCATAACACTATGTGGTAAAAACACTAAGTTATACACCTTAGGAGAGTAAATTTTACAGTATGTCACTTATAGTTCAATAGAGCTATTGTTAAAAATTAAAGAAAAGCAAATTTAAAATTTACATTAACATTTAATATTTACAACTGTTTTATTAATGAATTAAGCATTTAGATACGAACTTCTTAGAAGCTAACACAGGAAGACAAAATACAAATACTCAAAAAGTGCTACTGTGAAAAAATAAGAGATATAGTATTGTTATCTAAAAAAGGCAAATATAGTATCAGAATATGATTGTAGAATCAATATATTAGTAACTTCAGGATGCAACACTTGCTAGACATGGATGGAGAATCTGTGCCAGGATTTAAAATGTACCTTTTTATATACTATTGTTTCATTCTCAGAAAGACAGTCTTTCTGAGCCCATTTCCTCTTGTGTGTAACAGGAATACCACTGCCTCACAGAGTGGCAAGCCTGATTAAATGTGAATACACACGAACATGTTTTGAATACTACACACACAGTAACTCATTCAGACAGAACCCATGTTGAGGACAAAAAATGTGAAATTCCTAATTGCAAATTAACTTCAATATTAACAACTTTGAAGACAAAAAAAATTCTCTAATGACATTCTGATTTTACTTTAAATATTTTTATGCAGTGTCACTGAGTATCCCAGGAAAAGGCACTAAATAAGCTTCCTCCAAATTCAGGTAAAGACATTTCACTATAAGAGATTAATAGTAATTTTTCTATCCAGTTATGTTTAATCAGGTTTATTATTAAAACAAGTAGGTTATCCCATCTGTAAACAGATTTATAAATGACTCCTTTCAACTAGAAATATAAAGGCGGCCAAACTATGCTTATTTTACAGGTTTTTCAGCACAGCCCCATAAACTATTAGATGGACATTTACAACACTAAAACTTTTTTTTTTTTTTTTGACAGGCAGAGTGGACAGTGAGAGAGAGAGAGACAGAGAGAAAGGTCTTCCTTTGCCGTTGGTTCACCCTCCAATGGCTGGCACATCGCGCTGATCTGAAGCCAGGATCCAGGTGCTTCTCCTGGTCTCCCATGCGGGTGCAGGGCCCAAGCACTTGGGCCATCCTCCACTGCACTCCCGGGCCACAGCAGAGAGCTGGCCTGGAAGAGGGGCAACCGGGACAGAATCCGGCACCCTAACCGGGACTAGAACCCGGGGTGCCGGCGCTGCAGGCGGAGGATTAGCCTATTGAGCCGTGGCGCTGTCCAACACTGAAACTTTTAATACTGCTGTTTTACACATTTTTCTCCTCCAAAATTGTTATATTTTCATACTATTAGCCTTTACAGCTTTAAAACTTTGATGCAAGTAAAAAAAAAGCAAGAAATACAATGGTGAAATGTATATCAATTATAATAAAATATAAGATTCTTCTTCAAATAATCAACAGAAAACACATTTTCAAGTTTCCTTCAGAGAGAAGTGACAATTAAGAGAGTTAAAATCAAAGAAAATACAAATAGGGCTTTTTAAAAGAGTGAGTCAAAGGGGAACACTCTCATATTCACAGGTTGTTTTTGAGTCTGAGGACTTGAACTTGCCAACAATGGGCCAAGAAAATGAAAACTGATATACGTGATGAAGAATTCAAACCTTAAAACACTCACTTTAAAAGCACTGACTTAAGAATTATTTGCTTAGTAATAATTTTGCAGAGAAATAATTTAAATGAGTTTCAGCCAAGGGTGTATTTAAATAAGGGGGTGGAGAAATAGTGACTCACTACCACAGAGTGTGTAAGCCTGTGATGATGGGGCAGTTTTTTCAGTTCTGAAAGATGGACCTTTTGTCTCAATCTCCGCTTCGATTCCTACTCCAGCACAACAGTCCGCGCGCCTGGTTTCAACTACTGACCTTCGGAATCACGAACACGACCACAGCGCAGGCAACACGCTCCTTCTCCACAAACTCACAAAGTGCCAATGACCTATCTTTAAAAAGTTTTGGGATCTTAACATACGTGGGTGGCAAGCACAATGTAGGACAGACAGAGCAGTAGATGAGGTGTAGCAGTGCTTCGCTGTCCTGGCATCACTGCCCATCTTCCTGCACCGCCCGGGTGGGCTGCTGCGTGCCCCCTTGCACAAAGCGGCCAGTAAACAGGTTCCTCTCCTCCCTTCGCTTCAATGTGACTTAATTGTAACCGACAATTTGGACACACAACCTCTTCAGAGTAAGACAGAGCCCCAGGAAGAACATGCAGATAGCAACGATGGTAGGTTTAATTTCTCAAGTTAAAAGGATTTCTTCACCTCTTTTCGCTCCATGGACCGAACACCTCAATTGCCTGACCAGTTCGGGTCTTTCGGCCCATGACGTCAGAGTTTTCGTTGTTTTGAAACAAATTCCTAAGGTGTTGGAAAACCCGGAAGGTTTTGGAAATCACGACAGGCTTCCCGACGGCGGCTCTCTCCGCCCCGCACCGGGGCCGCACGCGGGACCGGGCGAGTGGACAGCAGGACGCCGTCTCGCCCGCACCGGGGACGAAGCCCAGGCCCACCGGGCGGGAGTCGCGAGCAGCAGGAGCCGCGCTCCTTCCCGAAGGAATCCAGCATCCGACAGCGGCACCGTCCAGCCCCGGGGGCCACCAGGGCGTCCCCGCCCGGCACACAGCGGACCTGTCCTCTCCGGCGCCGCCACCTCCCGGGGGGGAAACAGGTACCCCCTTCCTCGCAGCGCCACAGACAGGGGCCCCGGGTGGGCGCAGGCCCTCAAAGGGCGCCTTCCCGGCGGCCCAAGGCTGCCACCCACCAGTGCTCCCGAGAGAAGGAACTGCCACTCACCTGCGACCGAAGAGAACGCGGTTCCCCGGCTGGCGTCAGCCCTACACCCTCTGAGCCCGACCTGCAAAGCGCGATGGCTGCCGCGGCCCGAGCTCCCGTCGGTCCCTTCCGGGCCGGCGGGTGCTTCACTGGCGACGGTCCGCGGGCTCCCAGCACCGCGCGTCCTCAGTTCCGCCTCCACCGAGTCCCGCCGCCGGTCCCCGAGGTCGCGCCCGGACTTTCCCATTCCCGCCCGAAAGCCTGGGAGAGATGATACACCCTTCTGGCGCTTGCAATAATTGTCGTCGGCTCCTGATTTTTTAAAAACAATTTTTTGAAAGTACACGTTTTTTGCATTCATCAGTAATTTACAGAATGTAAGTATGAATCAAATAATGTGTGGATGCTGACTATTTAGCATTAAACAAGACTCTTTAAAAAATTATTTTCGTATTTGAAAGAGTTATGAGACAGGTTGTGGCAAACCAGTTTGAGTCCCAGCTGCACTATTTCTGATCCAGCTCCCTGCTATGGCCTGGGAAAGCAGAGGGAGATGGTCCAAGTGTTGGGCCCCTGTACTCATTGGGAGACCCAGAAGAAGCTCCTGGCTTCCTCCTGGCCAACTAATACATGGAAGATTTCTTTTTGGGTGTGTCTCCCTGTCTCTGAACTCTGTCTTTCATTCTCAGCACCACCAGCCCTACCACCACCACCCCCCATTTATTTATTTGAAAGAGTTAACAGACAGACAGACAAACAGAAAGAGACATCTTCCACCCATTGATTATCTCCCCAGATGGCCAGAACAGCTGGACCTGGGCCAGAAGCAAGCCTGGAGCTTAGAACTCCATCTGGGTCTTCCACCTGGATGATAGGGCACCTGGGCCATCTTCCAGTGCTTTCCCAGGTACATCAGCAGGGAGCTGGATCAGAAGTGGAGCAGTATCCAGGACTGGAACCAGTGTCTCATATGACGATGCTGGTATTACAAGCTGCAGCTTAACCTGCTGTGCCACAATGCCAACCCCTAAACAATACTCTTGACTTCAGCATTCTTTGCTAATGGCTGGGAGTGCTTGCGTTTCTTGAATACAAGTGTGATGACTCTGGTTTTAGAACTACTCTCAGATTCTAGGTGACAGAACAGGCACAGTTGGGAGCTGAGGCAGACATTATTCAGGGCTTTTCCAGCACAGCCTGGCACTGACCTTGCCATTCTCCTCTCTTTCTGCTCCAGTCCAGGCAGTGCCTTCCTCTGGTTCCCTTCCTGGCACTTGCCTTTCCTCCCCACCTCTGCTCTTGGCCCAGCCAACAGCGACCCATTCTTCACATGTCAGCTCAGGTAGATCTTCCTCTGATTACAGATGGCTTCTGGTTTTCCCAGCCATCCTGCGATCTGCCTTAATGTTGAAGTTACCTTGCTTAGAACTGTATGGTTCCTTACATATGACTTTTATTAAAAGACTCCCTCAATGTACATTCTCTAATCTTCCTGAGGTTATGAACCATATCTGTCTTTTTCCCCTCCTAAATCTATTTTCAATGCTTGGCACATAATAGTTGCTTAATATGAGCAAGTGATTCATTTGTAACATGCAGAGGACTCCTAGGAACATTTTTGGCTTCTAGAGGTTGTACAGTTTCCTTAGTGTTCCTTGGTCTGAATTGGAAGAGCAGATAGTTTCAAGCTGAGTTCTCTGCTGCCCCTTTCTCAGACTCCCCAGTCTTGAATTCAGGTGGTTTCATAAACACTTCCAAGTAGCCTGTCAGGACTACAGCTATTGGTCTGGATGGCCTTTCTTTTTGGCTAGTCCGTTAAAATTTAAATTATGATTGTTGCTTCAGCAACAAAAGTAACTAGGAATAGGGAAATGGGACAATAACTATGACATAGTCTCTTTCCTGAAGATGGGGAGATGTGTAAGCTCACAACTAATTGTAAATGAGGGCAGACGGAGAGAAACGATGACAGTGTACAAAATGATGGTAGAGGTGGGCAGTGGAGGGGCTGGAGAAGCTGGTGTCTGAGGACAATCTTAAAACATACAGAGGATATTCCCTGTGAGCTTTATTGTTTTCCAATTTTCTTTTGCTGTGGCAAAGTACTCATGCCATTGATCATCTAAGTCATTTTTTTTTTAATTTTTTTTTTTTAACAGGCAGAGTGGACAGTGAGAGAGAGAGACAGAGAGAAAGGTCTTCCTTTGCCGTTGGTTCACCCTCCAATGGCCGCCGCAGCCAGCGCGCTGCGGCCGGCGCACCGCGCTGATCTGATGGCAGGAGCCAGGTGCTTTTCCTGGTCTCCCATGGGGTGCAGGGCCCAAGCACCTGGGCCATCCTCCACTGCACTCCCAGGCCACAGCAGAGAGCTGGCCTGGAAGAGGGGCAACCGGGACAGAATCCGGTGCCCCAACCGGGACTAGAACCCGGTGTGCCGGCGCCGCTAGGCGGAGGATTAGCCTAGTGAGCCGCGGCGCCGGCCCATCTAAGTCATTTTTTATTTTTTTTTTATTTTTTTATTTTTTATTTTTTTTTTTTATTTTTGACAGGCAGAGTGGACAGTGAGAGAGAGAGACAGAGAGAGAAAGGTCTTCCTTTGCCGTTGGTTCACCCTCCAATGGCCGCCGCTGCAGCCGGCACACCGCGCTGATCCGATGGCAGGAGCCAGGATCCAGGTGCTTTTCCTGGTCTCCCATGGGGTGCAGGGCCCAAGCACCTGGGCCATCCTCCACTGCACTCCCTGGCCATAGCAGAGAGCTGGCCTGGAAGAGGGGCAACCGGGACAGAATCCGGCGCCCCGACCGGGACTAGAACCCGGTGTGCCGGCACCGCAAGGTGGAGGATTAGCCTATTGAGCCACGGCGCCGGCTCCCATCTAAGTCATTTTTTAAAAAACATTTCATTTATTTATTTGAAAGGCAGAGTTACAGAGGCAGAGGCAGAACAAGAAAGAGGGAGGTCTTCCATCTGTTGGTTTACTTCCCAAATGGCGGCAAGGGCTGAAGATGCGCCAATCTGAAGCCAGGAGCCAGGAGCTTCTTCCGGATCTCCAATGTTGTGCAGGGGCCCAAGCACTTGGGCCATCCTCTACTGCTTTCTCAGGCCATAGCAGAGAGCTGGATTGGAAGTGGAGCAGCTGGGGCTGAAACCGGCACCCATATGGGATGCTGGCACTGCAGGCCATGCCTTAGCCTACTAAACTGCAGCGCCAGCCCCTGAAGCTCTTCTTATAAAACTGAAACTTTTGAACCAGCTTTGTTGTATAGCAGGTTAAGCCACTACCTGCAGCACCAACATCCCGTATGGGTGCTGGTTCTAGTCCTGGCTGCTCCTCTTCCAATTCAGCTCTCTGCTGTGGCCTGGGAAATCAGTAGAAGATGGCCCAAGACCTTGGGCCCCTGCACCCACGTGGGAGACCTGAAAGAAGCTCCTGGCTCCTGGGTTTGGATCAGCTCAACTCCAGCCATTGCAGCCATTTGGGGAGTGAACCAGTAGATTGAAGACTTCTCTCTCTCTGCCTCTGCCTCTCTGTAACTCTGCCTTTCAAGTAAATAAATAAATAAATCTTAAAAAAAAAAAAAAAGCCATAGGGCTTAAAAAAAAAAAAACTCTCTCTGTCTCTCCCTCTCTCTCTGTACCTCTGCCTTTCAAATAAATGAAAAATAAATCTTAAAAAAAAAAAACCCTGAAAGTCTAAACCAACGACACAGTAACCCCATTTCTCCCTCTCCCAGCCTCTGGCAATCACCATTCTCTTTTCAGTCTCTATGCTTTTGATGACTCTTAAGTAACTCGTGTAAGGAGAGCCACACAGTATTTGTTCCTTTGTAACTTTGAAGTGCAAAGCACAAGGATTATGCTTTCACTTAAACATACTATCCTCAGGGCCATCTGTGGTATAATATAGATCAGAATTTCCTTCTGGGGGTGTGTGGTGCAATGTTTAAGGCTCCACATCCTCTATAGGAGTGCCTGGATTCAAATCTGGCTCTGTGTCTGATTCCAGCTTCCTGCTAATGCTCATGCTTGGTGCAGATGATGGTTTAAACAATTGGTTCCCTCTCACCCACATAGGAGACCCAGATGGAGTTTCTGGTTCTTGGCTTCAGCCTGGCCCAGCTTCTGTTGTTGTGGACATTTAGGGAACAAACCAGAACATGTAAGATATCTTTCTCTCTCTTTCCTCTCTCACTTTCAAATATATAAAAAGAAATAAAAAGAAAGATTTTAAAGAAAAAAATAGAATTTTCTTTAAGACCAAATCCCCCAAAAAGATGTCTTTATTATTATGTTAAAGATTGATTGATTGATTTGAAAGGCAGAGTAGCCTCAAGTGTGTGGACCACCTTCCACTGCCTTCCCAGGCACATTCACAGGAAGCTGGATCTGAAGTAGTATAGTTGGGACTCGAATCGGCACTCCAGTACGGGATGTGGCGTCCCAAGCACTGACTGCACCTGCTGCATCACAACCCCAACCTTACCCCCCCAGCTTTTTGTTTATCGTTATGGTTGCTACAAGAGTAGTACACAGCAATTGTAAGATCCAGAAAAATGTAATGAACTAAAAATCACCCTCAAACTGCACAAGACTAACCAGATTTATTTATTTATTTGAAAGGATATAGCGGGTGTCTCTCTCTTTTTTAAAAAAGATTTATTTATTTGAAAGTCAGAGTTGCACAGAGAGAGGAGAGGCAGAGAGAGAGAGAGGTCTTCAATTTGCTGGTTCACTCCCCAATTGGCCGCAACAGCTGGAGCTGCGGCTATCAGAAGCCAGGAGCTTCCTTTGGGTCTTCCCATGCATGTGCAGGGGCCCAAGGACTTGGGGCCATCTTCTACTGCTTTCTCAGGTCATAGCAGAGAATTGGATTGGAAGTGGAGCAGCCAGAATGTGAACCAGAGCCCATATGGGATGTTGGCATTGCAGGCAGCGACTTTTCCCACTACGCCACAGCGCCAGCCGCTATAATCATACATTTTAGAAAATATTTAAAATTAAAACCTTAATCTAACTGCAGATGATCATTCAAAGACACCAGTCCCTTGAAGTTTTACTTCCTGCCTCTGTAAAATGGGGACTAATATCGAGAAGGAATGATATGTCATAAAATGTGAGAATAACATGCAAAATGGAATAGATAGGGAAAAGCACCAGGCAAGTGTGTGTGTTATGGTTCACTTGGGTAGAATTGGCCTGGACCAGTGGTGACCTCCACTCTCAAGCTACAGAACCTTTTAGGAGTTT